CAAGTTAATTGCTATGATCTGAGAAAGTAAAATATTTTTAGTTTGCTTCCCACCACAAACCAGCAACTCACCTTTCACTTGTCATGGTCCATTGAGAGTCAATTGCAAAACCGTATTTTGTTTGACACTAGACAGAGGCAGAATTTTCTTGGTTTGGGGGGGTTTTGCTTGTTTTAGGTAAATGTCCACAGCTAGCCAATAACTCACATCATTTCCCAGTGCACCAGCTCCTAAACATAAAACCACAAGGCCCATCATCAGCATTCAGTAGTTATTTCCCAGATTTAAGACAGCTGCAGTCAAAGTACAGTAGACTATTACTTCAGAATTTGGGTACTTTGAGGCATCTTGGTAGAAAAACCAGTTACTTTGTTACCATTCCTTCTGATGGACAAATATTCTGAATTGTAACAAATCAATCTAGGCTTTGATTTTAGCTCTCCTAAGTGGACTGCAGGAAGCTCGCCAATCATTGACTACATTACAAAAAAGTTCCATAGATTACATACTAGAAGATGAGCTTTTAAGTGCATTGGAACAGATTTGTGACGTCAACTGTGAGAAAAGTTTCACTGGGGACTTTTCACAGTGACTTACAAGCCCTAATCTTTACAAAGCTAAGCCTATTTATAGTCGTGAGCCCTTTCTTTTTACTCTTGTTATCTTGGACTTGACCAAACATACATTAATAAATACTTCCAGAGACCTTACAAAGGCTTCGGAACTGCTACTCTCAACGCAGGAAGCCAGGCTCTGGACAGCAGATGTTCTGAGTTGCTTGTGGCTCTGGAACTGGAAGGGCCCAGCCAGACAGCCAAGAGTCCTCCTAGAAGTAAGGAAACACCAGCTGTATGGTCTGTATGGTGGCCCAGCCAACTCTAACAGGGTAGGACACAGGCAGCACAAACCACCCACCCAAGATCATTTTCCAGATTTCCCCTACTGTCTTACATACAGGGTTTTATTGCACATGCACCAGGTTACTGGAAGACAGACAACGCTATTGGATCTCTTGTTGCCTAGGGAGAACTCTCATGAAGAGCTTCAAAAAAAAAAAAAATCAATCTGCAGCACTCATTTTGGAAGCCCTGCAAGATATTTACAGTGAGAGGAAAGAAGCTAATGAGATGTACAAAGCACAGTGGTTTATATCTGGTACCTGCTACTACTGTAGCCAGTCGCCTGAATAAACTCAGGCCACCAGAGAAGTAACTAGGACCAGACTGAGTTGATAGCCTTTTCAGCCTTAAAAGGAGCTTCTCAAATGCTCAGGAACTGAACTGGCCGGTTTCTGCACATACTGTATAGATTAGCAACACAGAAAAACCTTCATTGGGTTTCAGAATGAACACAGATTACCAAAACAAGGAAGAATATTATCTAAGCATAGTATCTGCCACAGGATCGATCAAAATGCATTCCAGCAACATCAGTACTGTTCTCTTGCAACGCCCAGAGAGATGTTTCTCTACATGCGCATTTTGCTTTTATTTTCTTACCTGAGTTACTGACAGCTCTGATCAGATCCTGGAAAATCTGCTAGGCTTTGTTATTAAAGGAAGGTTTCCATGAGGATCTCAAGCAGGAAGACATACTCTACTGTTCTGCCTCCGTAACCAGTTTCTCCTTTTTTAACCACCTTTGAGCTGAAACAACTTTCTCTACAGAGACTGAAACTGCAGGTAAATGAGCATCACTGTCCTATATAGGAGAGGCTAATAAAAGGCAAAGAAACAATGTTCAATTACATGTGGGATACAAATGAAAATGGGAAACACTACACTGAAATGGAATTTTTTTTTTTTTTCAAATCCTTCACAAACCTCTGCTCCCAACAGAATTCTTAATGGTTTCTCAACCCAAAGGTCCTCTGACTCTAGCACTACTACAGCACCATAGACAGAAAAAGGTTTGGAAGAACTCCAATATCCACAACCAGTTACTTCAATTAAAATAGAAGCAAATACAGCCACAAAAATACCTTCTCTTTGTTGAAATGAAAGCACAGAGTAAAAGCAGCCCAGATAGGTAATCAAATGGTGAAAGATCTCAAAGAGAATAATTTATACAATCTGTTTACCAAGACAGGGCTCTGGACAGGGAAGTACAAAGCTATGTCAGGCTTGCAAGAGCAGTGAAAGCGTAGACTGAAATCCTTTAACACTGTCCGTTTGTTAGACATGATCTAACATGTCATCTCAGCAGAATTACCGTTACTGGACCCTTTGAGACAGCAATATTTTAGCAACAAATAGGCCCAAGCCAAAAGAGAAAACCTTTTCTATTTTGCAATGCCATGAGTCAGAAAATTGTTCCGTAGTATCAAAGTACACTCAACTGCAGACCATAATATGAGTTAGAGCAAGCCTATAGATAGATACCACACTTAGACTACCCACCGCCTTCAAGAGAACTGAACTCTCCTACCTTTTCTATCATGCTTATCTCGTATCTTTGCTTGTTAGGTTAACCACAGCTCTATGGGCAGATTGCTCTCTACATTTCAGAGACTGGTTAAGTCTTAATCTAATTAAACAAACTATGCTATACAAGAACATCTTTCTATCTAGTGACCCTCTGCCTATACAGAAAAGCTGCATTTGTCTTCAGCCATTAAATCCAATTGTGAATTCCATCAGTGACCCACTGTAACTCCAAACTTTCCAATCCAATATTTCTAAACAGAAGCACATGACAATACTTTGAGATGGCCCTCATTCCCATTCTGAGCGTCCATGGCACAGTGCAGCTCAGGAATCAAATCCATCATGACAAGTATCACACAATCTCCACAAAGAACTACAAGAAACTTGCTACAGGATGTAAGTTTCCTATTCATAGGCACTGGTGAACCAGCTGAGAGTCTGATGCAGGATAAAAATCATACACTAATTTTAAGAACATGTTGGAAAAGTAAAAATTTCACTTTATTAGCTCAATACATGCCAAGTCAGTCCATTAAAAGTCTCATGAAAGTTGCCAACAACATCCCTCAAAGCCATTTGTATTCAGCTGTATCATTGGCAGTAGATTAATAACTATGCCAGTGTTAATTCAAATTAACATCAATGAGGCCATTTGTCCCATTTGCCTTTCCCAGACATGAGACACAGCATTCCATTTGGCTCTAATACCCCTACTTCTCCAACATTTAATACCTCTAGCTCCTTTACCAAGTCTTAAACTCAGCCTGCTCCTCACCTGCCCATTTGAAACCTAAAAAAACCCCACGATGAATTTATAGACAGGGGAATCAGGCAGCATTTCTGTTAATAAAAAGAGGAAATACTAAAAATACATAGAAGAGCACTTGAAGTGTGGTTTGGTTTTGTAGGCAGCTTCAAATCTACTAACTTTTTCTACTACAAAGAATCAACAAATGTGGATTAAGTGGTCTATTTTATATACAACAGATTTTTCCAAAACTACACAAACTAGTAGACTGAAGGGGAAAGGACTGGCTAAGGGTAGGTAGCAGGTAGTCAGTTTTCACAGTGGAGGCGGCTACCAGAAACTACTGTAACACCTGCTACATTCAGCATTGATCAAGTTCTTAAGGTTAGTGAAGCAACGATGCCAGGATTATCACGTTATACAAGAAGTCAAAAGTAGGTCCGATGACAAAGACCAGAAGTGTCTTCCAGTACTGAAGTTTCACTGCCCATTTGTTATCCACACGTACACTGCACTAACTAGAAGGGAAAACCCTGAATAAGGACATGCTATGATTCACACCAATCAAGTTATCATCACTGATGAAAGATACTCAAGCCATTGTCGTTACTACACTGAAAACAGCGTAGAGCTCAAGAGATATTAGAATAGAGACAATCTTTGAAAGGATCAGGCACAAACAACGTATTGTGCTGTTATGAGCCATGCTATGTCCACTACACAACGAGTAAGAGTAGCCAAACCAGAACAACTGTACTCTAAGGAAAATTTAAAAAAATCAAGTACACAAGGCCAGCGTAAACATGTTCTTTAATATCACTGAAAATACATTTTGAAATGCAAGTCTTAGGTGGGTTTCAAATAAATAATCATTTTGAGTGTCTACATATAAAGGGAGCTCTCAAAGCAGCAGTGCACAGTTTATAATTCCTCCCTGCTAACACATCTCCAACAAGAGAATGTACAGTAGGTAGTGCACACTGGAACAATCACAACATACGGCACACTTGCCATCTTTGAGGAAACCACTGAATATGAACATTGAAAAGGGGGGAGAAGCAAATGAAGGCACGCACTGCCCTTTAAAGCATCACTACCTTCCCATAGCCTTTTTACCAGCATAACACAAAAAAGAAGCCTAGGAATACAAGTCGTCTTTCTGCTTCTAAAATCCATTCTCAACTCAAAGATTAACACAGCAGTGCTCCGATATAGAAAAAAAATCTATTCTTCCAACTGACATTGCAGCATATCATCCTTATCTCAATTGGTCTCTGCTCAGGGACACCTACTCTAGTTTTTAAATTCTTCTCCAATAGCTAGAGGTAATCCAGAAAGTTGAAAGACAGGTAAGAGTTGTTTCTTTTAGATCCTGGCCCAGTGTACTAAAAAGAACCAAGACACAGCAGGCCTCAAAAAGGCGTATTGTTACTCAGCAAAATATCTCCTATCCTACATCACTCAAAACCTTCCAGAAGTAAAAGTTCTTCCTTAAGAAGGGCAAGTCCTCACTTTAAACGACTCCAATTATTCTGCTGTAAAAACGTCTGATGTGAAATTTCTCATACCCGAACAACAAGATTTAACAATCCAGAAAGACCAAGAAGAAAGATCCATTATAAAAATGCCACAAATATACTTGTAAGAGTTATTGTAAATTGTCTTGTCTAAGTTACTGTTTCATCAAAATATTTTCTCACTGCAGATAAGGGTAGGGTAGTCTGCCACTCCTTGTACTTCAGTTCAACATGCAATTGATCTGTGATAAGCGCTGCAGTACTCACCATAGAAGCACACAACCTACTAGCATAAATTCCTCAATAGAGTTAACCTGCTTCACTACTCATTTTTTAATTCTTCATTTCTAACATACCTGAAAAAAAGTTCTGCCTCTCTCTCCTACGAGTCAATAAAAAACCCTATGTAATACTGGTGTGTACCTACTGAATAAATATTACAGGAGTTAAAGGATTGTTTCAATTGCTGGCTTGGCTTTGGCAAAATACAAATCGGGATAATATACACTGTATAATTCACACATTTGAGTAAGGGATGCTGCAACATTTAACAGATACAAAATAAAATAAATCTTAGATTTCTAGAACTGTCAGTACACAGGATTCCCAAGTTGTTCTCAATACAGGAGCAGGGTTATCAATTTTCAAGGAAAGCCACATAGTCAGTCAATCTGGCCAACTGCTGTTCATTTGGAATTGGTGGAACTGGAGCAGGTTCTACAAAAAACAAAACAAATGCATCATTAATGAAATTAAGAAAGCAAATCCATCCACAATGCCATCTATCACAACAGTAAGGAAAAAAATTCAATGCATCAGACTGTTAAACAGCCTTACATGGGCATATCTTAACTGCATCTCCTACCTAGGCAGCTTTAGCCTACATTACTTTGCTGTTATCTGCAACATTAAGTAGTCCAAGAGTTACTAACAGCAAAGACAGCTGCAACAAGTTCCAGTTGTCAGCAGTCTCCAAATCTTTTTTTGTATATACTGGTGTCTGAATAATCAAGACCAACAGTATTTCCACTTGACAAAAAGGCTCCCAGAGCTCTGCAGTTGCTCCTTTACTTACAAGTTGCCATAGAGAAGATACCAAATACATCTCCTGGGTTATCTGACTAACAAAACACAGCAAAGCACTGCACAGGTTGCAGGAGAATGCAGTGCACATGCAGATCTTTACATAAATGCCAGGTGATCTGAGATTACAGTTTAACAATAGGTTGGAAGACATATGACTAAAGCTGAGGAGCCAAGTCAGGAATTAAAAATCAGAAATAAAAACTAGCAGCAATATTTGCATTTACTGTCCCTGAGGAGTTAACAGACTAGCATCCACCAAAATCCTGTCTGTTTCACACGGGCTGCCAACCCTTGCTTTGGAATCTGCTCCCTTCTCTAGCTATGGAAGTACGAATCTCAGGCACTCCTTAAAGTGTGAGAGGAAGAGAAGACAGAGGGAGAAGCCTATTTCCATAGCACCTGATAGGGGGCTGTTTGGTTTTTGGGTTTGGTTTTTTTGGTTGGTTTTTTTTTTTTTTTTTTTTTTGAGGGGGGAATGATGACATTCACTTCTCTAGGACCCAATTTCTATTTTATGGTGCTGGTGAAATTGTGTTTATTAATCATGCAAGTTTTAGAAACATGCAAACAGATTACACATAAACAGAAGTACCTGATGAAGGAATAAATCTGTTAAAGGAAGCTTCCAGCACACCTGAAAAAAAACACAATAGAAGTTAGCCCAGTGGACCAGTTTTAAACAGTTCTATACATCAAGCCAAAACTGGATTAAAAGGTAATTAAAATTAAGCCTGTTAATTTACTTGTTTAACTTCAGAGCTAAAAAGCAGAATACCCAAGGCTTAGCTGGTTAGACACACAGCTTCAAAATAGATGACAGCCTCCTGTCTCTTCCTTTTGCCTCTAAAGTACTTCTTGCACTCACTTTTGGAAGAGAACCACATGTAACTAGCTCTCAGTACTTATAAGCACTGTGTATTTTGCAACCACTTAATGAAAAAACTGATCACATACAAAAGCTCAGGGCTCTGGTTGGTTATGTGCCTCAAGGGATAACTTTCAACACCTTGCCTGGCACATGTTTATTATAATATTCTGGGCTCTGAACACCTACAAATTCTGCCCATACAAACAATATATTTTTTCTTAGCCTAATACATGTTTACCCTTTTAGATATGCTGTGATTTGGCTCCTTCCAGAGCTGCACCGTGCAGTTTAAGAGCACTTATTTCACCTCTGCCTTCATAGCTTAACATTTATTTTTGCCTCAGCCAGCCATGGATGCTACTTTAGCAAAAAAAAAAAAAATCCAAGTATTTTTGCAGGCTGAGCTTTGCAGGAACAGATATTCTGCTATCAACATTGTAACAGTGAAGAAAAGATCCTGCAGAATAAGTTTTAAAAAGCAAAGGAAATTATACCAATGACTTAAGCTCCTCAGAACACAAAGATCCACTAGATCCCTGCCTAAAGAAGTTCTGCTTGTCCTGAAAAAATCTCACATTGAATATGGTATATTTTTACTCATCTTTATTAGATAAAGATGTGTTATTTGAGGTCATCCAACTTATGCTCCACTGACTCAGAGCCAGCAGCAGAGGAGGAGCAGGAGAAATCAGAGCATATCCTGTTTGCTTTTGTTTAAAAAAGTTAATTTGAGGATGTAGTTTAATCCAAACTACTCGTAACCCCAAACCAAACCCACTACTTTGTACTTTTATTATTTTATAAACATTCCATTATTACAGTGGCATAAGCCCCTATAAAGATACCTAAAAGAACATTGTTTGAAATTTTAATTACAAACTAACACCTAATTACTAGAAAACACTAAACTAATTGTCTGATGAAATAACAGCTCCACCTACCTGGCTTTTTAGGCATTACCATACGAGTTGAAAAGTCTGCTTGCCAGCCCTGTTCTAATACACCTGAAAAGGCATTTTTACATTTGTAAGAACAAATATTTTATAATTGCTAGAAATGCAAAACAAAGATGCACATTAAGACCAGTAGAAAAGCATCTTGGCACACTGCCTATACACCATGACACTAAGACATGTTTCTTGTAAGCATTTGGACATTTAGTTCAACAAAGAAGCTCATGGAAGTAATAACAGCACACAAAACTAGGTTAACCCACTACCTTCGTTCTTCCCTCACTGCTGAATTTAACACTTACACATACAGAAGGGGAGGGTAACCAGTGGTAACTAGTGGGAAATAAAATCAAACACTTATCCAGAACCAAGACATTTATTTCTATTCACTGCCCCACCACTTCTCTTTATAACAGTCTCAGAATTTGTATAAGTTTCTATTTACCATCACTTACAGCTCTCCCTCATCCTAATCATCTGTAGGAGAACTATTCAGTGCATAAATGCAAAGTACCTTTCACAGCTTCTTCTACAGGAAGCCCGACAAAGGCTGCAAAATCATCTGCAACTATTGAGGTATATGCCTGAGAAACCAGTCCAAAGGCTCGTCTTCTAGTTGCATCTAAGAAGAGAGAAACACTGTAAGCAGACAGTAGGCTGATCTCCATAACTAGGAAATCTGAGAAAATTTTTCCAATTCTAATACATTTGGAAAACCATTACCAGCCTTAAAGCTACCAATTTAGAAGTTCCCCCTCCCTTCCCACAATTCACTAAAGTACCACAGTGAGCAGCCAGAGCCAACAGTTTGCTCTATGCCAGGACAACCCCCCCCCCGATTTAACTTCCAAATGCAGTCTGCAGCATCTTGGGTACTACAACCAGTGTGTAAACCAACTTAGGAGACTGCTTCCAACAGCCTGGTCCATTTGCAAGAAGCTTGTGTCAAATAGTTCAGAATCAGAAAAATCAAGAAAAGCAATTAGTCAAACTATTAATGCATTTTTAACCACATCTGCTTTGATACCAAGGCATCTGCAAATCAGCTCTAAAGCTACAGAGAATTTGTTAGTGCAAAATACCTTGGAAGGCCTTTTAGCAGTCTGTACTGCCCTCTAGTAGCAAGACTCTGCATGTCACTGTTTCACAGCCTATAACTAAAACATTTGGCTAAAGCCATTATTTAAAAGAAAAACCTTTTCACAAGTGTCATAAGGTTCTCAAATGCCAAGCCGAGTTCCCTAGATTGCTGGCTAAAATTCTAACAAAACTGGATAACTAACGGTCTGTTTTGCTATTACAGAACAAAACATACAGCATATGAAATCCCACTATGAAAAATATCACACACAATCCTAATTAATAAAAACATTTCTGTTTGTTTCTACAAGTTTCTGGAGTGAGCTTTTTATTTACACCCAATACCCAAAATCCTTTAAATAAAGCCTACAAAAAGTTGGCAACAATCTTCTGACCACCACTGATTTTTTCCCCATTGTCTACTTGTCCATTTGCGTTTGAGCACACAGAAACAATTTAAGGCAACATATAATTCCACACTACCTACAGGAGTTCAGTTTGTACCTCTTAGTGCTTCCATTATTGGTTGAATAGTCTCGGACCACTGATGCGCACTGATTGTTGTATAGATTCCTGGGAAGTCTCTCTGCCAGATTCTTTGTCCTACTGACCAAACTGCACCAAGTTCAGCATTTGCCTGTTGCAACAAAAAGCACAAAGCAGTTAATCCAGAATGGAATTCTCCACAGTGACCGTTCTGTATAAACCCCCTTCCACTCCCCTCCTTCTCCCATGGCAAGAGGGTATCACAATACCTGTAAAGATGAGCAGACTGGCACTGGGAAATCTTGTTCCAGCAGGTATCACTGCTGCAAACTCCCTGATCCATCCTCTGCCAAAACTTTATCACCCATGCAAGCAAAGCCTGCTCACATGTCAGTTATACCACTCCAGACTGACATACCAGCTAAAACAATCACGGATAGTTTGCACTCAGGCTCCTGACTAGAGTTACAAAAGGGCCAGGCACAGCTTATTTTTTGCTTAGAGAAACACTTCCTTCTTCAGTAGAGGCTTTGTCAAGTGCAGAGGCTGTTCTTACAGCAAAGGCAATTTTCAACTTGAAATTTCTCCATATCCTGGATAACAAGGTCTCCCATTTCCTTCTTCAGAGGGCCCACGTTTTCCCTAGTCTTCCTTTTATCAGACAGACCTACAGAAGTTCTTCTTGTTGCCCTTTACATCCCTGGCCAGATTTAATTCTGAGGGCTTTAGCTTTCCTAACCTGATCCCTGGCTGCTCAGACAATTTCTCTGTATTCATCCCAGGCTATCCATCCTTGCTTCCACCCTCTGTAGGCTTCTTTTTGAGTTTAACTTTATCCAGGAGTTCCTTGTTCATCCATGCAGGTCTCCTGACATTTTTGCCTGACTTCCTCCATGTTGGGATGCATCACCCCTGAGCCTGGAGGAAGTGATCCTTGAATATTCACCAGTTTTCTTGGGCCCCCCTTCCCTCCGGGGCTTTGTCCCATGGTACTCCACCAGGCAGACCCCTGAAGAGGTCAAAGTCTGCTTGCAATGAGTTTCCCCATCAAGAATGATGCTTCATGTGAAATGCAAGTTACACCAAAAAAAGCCAGATTGGTTATTCACAGAATACTGCTGTGCAACAAATGCAGCAAGTTTCAGAGAAAGTCCAAGCAAAATTTGGTCCAGATGACTATTGACTCAACTGATGTAATTACTTTTTTCTTGAAAAAAAATAAAATCATTTCAGAACCACCTGACAAGTCCCATCTTGACTGTGAGGTTTCTTAATACAAGACTACAGAACACTTGTTTCCTTGCTAAATGTACAGTGTCAAACTAAAAAAACTAACAACAGAAAAGTCTGGAAGCATTTCTAGCATCATATTTACCCAAACCTCAAAACACGTCTTTGAGCCAAATGCAGTGCAAAACAAACCCCCTTCAGAAAGGCAATCAGTTTGAAGGTGCATCTTACCTGAAGTCACTTCTCACTGCACAGGGCATTCTGCACCCTCATGCGGAATTCAACCCCATCCCCCAGCCAGATCCATTGCTTTCCTCCAGCTGACTACCCTTTATTATGAGGCTTTCTGCTACAGATTTACTGAATTCTATTGCACCATATTATTTGTGAAGGAAAAGCGGTAACAAACAAGCAACTAGGAGGTCTTAAAGACCAACACTCCATCTGCTGGGCAAGCAGTTCACAGCACAGAAGTGAGCCCAAGGCTACTCACCAAACAGAACCCTTGGGGGAAAAGTCCTTATTTGCAAGATTATATATAACTGTTTTAGTTTCAAGTGGCATTTTACAACATACTTACAGATTTGATAGCAGGAGGGATTCTTTTCCAAAGATATCGCGCATTATTCCTAAAAAAAAATTAAGTAAAAAATACTTCTCAGTAACCAAATGCTTGCCACAAGGGGACACCAAACGGTTTCTTCAGATGCTGTAATTAACATCGTCTCAGTGCTTTAAAATATTCCTTTTACATCTACTGAAATAGAAAACCAAAGTTACTCTCAAGTACACAAAGTAACTGCCCTAATAAAACAAATAGTTCATTAAGTGCCCCATTTAACACCAGTTTAGGGGAGGTTTTTCATTTATCTCCCCTAGGCAGCGTTTCACAGAAATGAGCTTTGCAGTTGTGTTTTTGGAATAGCTGCATCTTTGATAAACGCGTGTGCAAACAGCAACTTTTCATAGCAGTCATTTAGACCAGCGGTCTACAAACTTTGATCATGCATTTCCAGCAGAAAACCATTTTTGAGCATGCACCCCGGCATATGCATATGTATGTACAGATCATATACATGTACTACTGGATTAATATATCATGTACATTGTAAAGCATACAAAGGACAAAATAAACACCATTTACCAATATTTTTGTTTTACTTAGTACAAAAATACTTTCCTCACATGCCCACAGCCCACTTGTAGACTGGTTTGTGCATGTTCTTCCCAACCCAGCCCTCTCACATACATTCTGGAGGTTTGGACACACATCATTAATGCTTAGAGCACAGAAGCCTAAAACGGAAATGGCCAAAGTCTCTGAAAGATTTCAAATGCAAAAATAGAGAAAAGGACCCACTGCTTTTCATTAAAGCACAACCCTAAACCTCCACAATTCTAGAGCTTCCCATTCATCTGAACCAAGGTTATCTGCATTACACCTAATACTCAGGGCCAGCATCCAGGGAATTTGCCCTGGAAGAATATACATCAAGACAAGAAAGCACTCCGATCTTTGAATCCCCATACCAATGCCTACCTTAGTTTGATAATCAAACACAGCAGTGTCATTTATTCTGCCTGAATACATAACCAGCAATTTCTCAGTAAAATCCTAAACATAGCAAACCAAGTTCACACAGGGACATGGCAATAATCCACCAGATCAAACTCAGAGGATTACTGCTCTGTGCAGATTGAGCTCGTTCAAGCCAGGAGTCTCCTTCATTTTTTAACACAGACAGTTTAGAGTTATCCTGCTGTCATTTAAACACAAGTAGCAGCATGCAACCTTACTCAAAACAAATGCAGCCTTGAAAAATCCAAACACTGAAGCGTTCAAGGAGCCAATTTCACTATTTAAGGAACTTTCTTCCTAAAGCCAACCTGTTTCCCAGGGTGGGCAAGAGCAAACAAAGGAAAATAATTTTCCTGACAGAGCAAGGAGTGAAAGAGACTTAATTCTGTGTTTGTTTTTTTTTAACACAGCACAGCCTACATGCACTTTGTTAGTCACACAACCAGTTACTAATACACTGGCAACTACAGCTCAAGCCAATAGTGACAAATTCAGTATCTGAAGTTAAAGATTAATACAAGCTACTTACATGTCATTATGCAACAGGTATAAAGCTAGAAGTTGGCCATAAACAAGGGGTGTTGCAATTCCTCCAGGTGCCTAAAAAACACATCCAAACAATTTGGTTACATATTTTAAGAAGACAGTATCTTAACAAAATCCACCAGGTAAACCAAGTTTAATGAAATCTGACTACTCAAAGACAGCTGATGTTTTTCACACCACATGAGATGGGTCTGGACAAATTGTCAGAATTGCAAAGCTATATTAATACAGTCTTTATCTTATCAATTTGCACATGACGGACAGTTTACTTAGAAAACTTGTTTTTGCTGCACGAATAAAGTAATGTTACATCTTTGTTATGTTCTAGCTTATGCTCATGAAAGTGGTAACCACCTCACTTCACAGTTCCATGCAAACAGCTGTTTGAAGGCACTCACGATTTCACCTGTTTTGAGTTAAGCCTCAATTCAGGGCACTCCAGAGAAAAGTTTCTTCCCTCCTTAGAAATTCACACTAAACTTTGACACTTGCCACACTTTAGCAGACCTCACAAATCATACAAGTAGAAAAAAAAAAAAGAATTATACTCACGTTATAAAATTTTGGAAGTATATAATCATCTAAAAGCTGAAAAGATTTCCAATAAGCAATTTATCAAAGGGTAGTGCAGCAAGCACTCACAGGAAGGCAATTATGCAGCTATTTGATTTAATTACATGTGTGATTTAGAGGCTGATCTAAGCCAAAAGCAGGTGATTAGCTGTGTTGAGCAGATATTGTCCCCAGCCACTCTTACACTAATTCCAGGGCTCATCACCTGCATAAAAACACAATGGTTTCTGCAACTCTTCCTTGAATTATGGCCAGCAAAACAAAGCCAGGTCAATTAATACCACTTCTTTGAACTGGCTAAGTTCACTTTTGGTGTTTCTCTGTACTGAAAAGAAAATTCATTAGCTTCTCTGCCAGGACACTAGTGGAGCAGAAGGGAAAGCTAACTACCACCAGAACAGCTAGATCAACAAGCTGCAGTCTTACTGAAAGCAGCCCTATGGCTGCATCTAGGCTGCGGAAAAAAAAAAAAAAAAAAAAAAAAAAAAAAACAACCCACCAGAAAAAAAAAAAAAAAAAAAAAAAAAACAAAAAAACCAGCCTACATATCAACTCACCATCTGAAACACACAGGCTGTCAGATACTAGTGTCCCCACAAGAATCTTGATACAGATGCACACACGCCCAGCAAACAACTTAACAGCTTTGTCAAAGCATTTGGGAACAGTCTGCCAGGGGTGCATCTGCTGACATTTACTCTGGGAGAAACTGCTGACAGATGCAGCAGAAGCCTTAGGAAGAGCGCAGTTTAAGTTCGGTGGCTTTCTAACAGCTCCCAGGGACCCAGCGAGGTCCAACACCACAAGCTCTGCAGCAGGGAAGCGAGGAGGGTGTGCTGAACCCCCTCAGATGGCTGCAGATGCAAAACCCAAAGCCTGCTGGGCTCCATCCCTATCACTCAGAATTCAGCCTGACACAACCCTCTCACCACTCCGCAGAGCCCAAAAAGGCAGCCAAAAGCCATGGCAAGTTGGGTTCAAACAGATTGCCCAAACCAAGTACCAACCACTGTTTGGAAGCTGGTTAATCTGCATGGGAATAAACAGCTAACTCCGTTTCCAGAAAGACATTCTCTAAAGGGAAGCCATTCTCGTACCTCTGACTACACCCCTCTGCCCACACTTCCCCAGCACACCCCTCAGCAGTACCTGCTGTACATGTGTGCTCCTCTAAAGGATGGGAATGCACCTTCAGAGCAAATACTAACCAGCTCCCAGCAGGAAGGGCTAGCCACACTCAACTCTTCCACACAGGACAAGGGCACTCTTCTACTTCTCTATGCTCACATGCCTACCACCTGAGGCAGCAGGCAGCTCGTATTTTCAACACAACAACCTCCCTCCAGCTCCATAACACTCTCCTGCAGAACTCAGGACATATCAAAACACTCTATCACCATGCTGAGACCATGAGAGACACCCAAGCTCAGCTGAGAAATCATACATACCACCTGAAGTTTTATGACATACACCTGCAAGCAGGAATCTCTTTCATTTAAGGATTGTATTTTCCACTGCAAAGCTGTGTGGTTTGTCAGCACCCAAGTTCTGCTGTGGCAAGTGATCACACACCAGAACAGCTCTCTCCCTTCAACTGCTGGGGTAGCAAGGTCTAAAAAACTAGAACTGCTAAAGAGTACATGAAAGAGGAAAGTTCAACATTTTCCCTTCTTTCAAAGGGTAACAGTAGTATGCAAGAGCTTCACCTTCAGAAAAGCACTGGAACCTCTGCAAGACAAGACAGGCTCTATGCATATTACCTGGCAAGAGCTTTTAGCATTAACACAGTGCCACTCGGATTTACCATAGGCTGGAGTCTGGCACACCAACAGGGCACACAGTCAGACTTGAGAACTCAACCAACAGAACTTAACACAGAGGAAGCATCCAGCATGAGCTCCCATAACAAGTGCACCATTAATTTAAAAGTAATTCTGTGCCTTTCTCCCCTTTTCAATGCCTTTTTTCCTCAACCACATGAGACACACTGTGATGGGTTTGCCCTTGGCTGGGGGCCAAACCACACACCCACTCACCCAATCCCCCCCCCACCCAAGGAGAGGGGAGAGAATTAAAGGGGTGAAGGAAAAAAGGACTCGTGGGTTGAGATAAGAACAATTTAATAACTAAACTACAATAATACTGAAAATAATCTTATATACAAATGAGTGACACACAGTGACACTGCCCCCCACCCCATGACCAAGGCTCAGCCTGTTCCCAGCTAACGATCCCGGAGCAGGGAGAGTCCCGAACCCGCACTCACAGAACGGAGAGAACAGTCCGAGCGTCCCAGACCCAGAGCTGACCGGGGTGAGGGGGGGAAGGCCTTGGGAGAGTGACCACCTGGAGCGAGATGACCCGGAGCAAAAGAGATCTAGAACCAAAAGGGCCGATCTTCCGGAGGGTCCTCACCTCTATCCTGGGCATGATGGGTATGTTATGGGATAGATTATTGGCCACTCTGGGTCTCAATCCCGAACCTAAGATCAAATCCTGGGCTGGTCACTGGGGCTGTGCTCCCTCCCCGCTTCTCCTGTTTGCAGACAGCCGGAGGAGCTGAAAGACCTTGGCAGCCATGGAACCATCACTTTTTACAACCCCAAACCACAGCCTCTTGCTAGCTATGATGAAGAAAGTTAACTCTGTCTCAGCTTAACCCAGGACAGACCTGGAGGCATGCAAACTTCCCTCTCTCTCTCACACGCTGCCCTCCGAACAACCCCTAACTCGTACACTCCCATGCACTCCTTTATTTGGTCTCAGCTTCACAAACTCCTTCACAGTTTTTGGGCGGTTTCTGCACAAGCAGCAAACGTCAACACTGAGCCCTCACTGCACACACATACAGAGGCAGAGAGCCACAAATACCCCGCCTTGTACGGCCTCATGAGCCCCTCAAAGCAGCAGTTCCAGGCACACGCCTGCGCCCA